ACCTGAAAGTATACTTTTGAATGGGAAAGACTGCTGTAGACAACATAATTTCTATTTTTAGTATATGCTGGTCCTCAATACGCGTATGTTTGATTGCGTCATCGTACCTTGCACAAAATTGTTTGAGAGTCGATTGGCGGCCGTCATATCCAGAAATGTGCCCATAAATACCATACATGAACGATTTGACAATTATATTGTTCTTGGTCTCGATCGCTGCACGGCCAATGGAATGGCAGGATTTGAATGGTGTTATCATAGCGTCATAAGTGCCTGGATGACCTGATAAAAGTCTGCACAAAATAGTCTTCACATCTTCGCGGGCGCGTAGTTCAGAAACTAGAGGGGATTGGCGTTAAGAAGGACAGGCCTGTTAACTGCACCGAATGATCTTCAAGATGGCTTCTTCATTCCAAATCCCGATACGGATGTGGAACACTCCCCTTAACGAACATCGTGAACGCCCACCTCACTGGCACCAAGCGCCCCAACAGATGTGGAACACTCCCCTTAACGAACATCGTGAACGCCCACCTCACTGGCACCAAGCGCCCCAACGATAAACGGCCATCGACGAAAGTCGGATTTCGCTGCTGATTGCATGTTTCGATCATTAATCGCGTTTCACCATGTTTGATGCAAGCATTTGGGCGACAACTAGGTGTGGAAGCCACGAGGCTAAGAATTGAAGAAATAAAGAAAAGTGCAGGAACTGAAAATGCAAATGCAACTAAGGAGGGTGCCATCGCGGAAAAAATACGTAAAAACACCACGAGAAATGGCCAAAACACACATATGACGATCGTGGGATAAATTTACACGTATAAACACACGTCTACACCTTGCAGCGCGTAGTGAGTGGTACCTCCGCTACCTTACACAAGTGAACCAGGCCGTCCGCTACGGCGGTATTTCTAACGCGACAGCTCCGGAAGCGACCCAGGCGTCATGAAAACGTTTCATGACGCGGTGAGACGATGACATTTTGAGAACCGTAGTTGCTGAGGAGCTCAATTTTGTTGATTATCGGCCGTATGCATACGATAGCACCAGAGGAGTGCGAACAGCCCACAACACCAATCGGTTGTCGGTGGACAGCACGTATTTCGCCCATAAGACCGCCTGACGTCACATTGCTTAATACGGCTGGCCGCCCGCGAGCTTGGTAGCCAATGTAGAAGCTGAAACAACTGCTCCAAGCGAGACTGCATTAGCGGCTCAATTAGCAACTGTATGAGCAGCTGTGGCCGGCCACAGCTGCTGGGAGGTGCAAAAACGGAGATGCACAATCACCACATTCGCCTCCCATTTTCAAAACAAACATGTGACGAATTTCAAAGCCAGACAAAGTCAGGCTTTCTTCCAGCTCGCCCAGGACGCCGCAGGCTCTGAGTTTTCAAGTCGTGTGTACTCACCGGGCACAGATAGGCCCAAACGGCAGGGGCGTGGCAGGCTCGATGTCCACAGACGGCAGCGCAGGCTCTGTGGGCACAATAGACACTGTACCAGCCGAGTCCGTGTCGGCCGTTGGTGCAGCAGGCGACCCTGTTGCCGGCTGGTCTTCCACAGCTGCGCGTGGCTCGGGCCGCACCATGGCGCTGCCGACGGGAGACAAGATGGCGCTGTGGCCGTGTGTGATGGGACCGGTGGGATGATGGGACACCGACGGCGGAATGCAGCTGATGGAGATGCCGCCGCCATTCGCACCCATCGCTCAGCCGAACGCTCGCCATGGCGCCACCAACGAGAGCCTCCACCGCTCCAGGCCGGCATGCGGGCCCAGCACCGCAGTAGCTGGCATGCGCGCTGTCGGAAATGAGGCAATGTTTAGGTTTGCTGGAATAGCCATAACCCAGCTCGTGAGTCTTCATTCTAAAACCCACCATGCCCGTGATGTCATGGTGCAACAGGTGCAATCGTGTCCTCAGCTCGCGGCCGAACATCAGCGATGCGGGAGTTACCCCCGTGGTACAGCCACGGGGGTAACTGCCACGCAGATGCGCAGATAACGGCTGATGCAGCCACGCAAGCTGGCTGCATCAGCAACCAGCTTGCGAGCCTCAGCTGGAGTGCAACCGTAGAGGTCTTCTTCACAGCACATTTCACTTCTCCCACATACCTCTCTGCAGGTATGTGGGAGAAGTGAAATGTGCTGACCATTGACCATTACTCGCTGGGTGGGTGGATGTCGCTATGGTATGCTTGATGTCTTTTCTTTTGGTGAGTTTTCGGAACTCATCGCCGACGAAAACCGGCCATTGCCCGTCACGACATCATCTGGCAGTCGAAATCTTGTAGAGGGGGATTTGAGCCTGTCAACACTGGTCGCAGGGCGTTGAGAGGTAGTCACATCGACTTCGACCCATTTGGACATGGCATCAACAACTATTAGGAGGCACTTTCCACCTTGCAATAAATCAGCGTCACCAAGGTGCGCGCGCGATAGTGGTGTTATTGAGCACAACTGCTGCTGTTGGTCAATCTTGACGGGCATCGCTCATTGCCGCTGACAGGCGGAACAAGCGCGAACAAACGACTCATGGCATCGCCAATGCGCGGCCACCCAGCGCATGAACGTGCCGCACATGTCATGCAGATCACTCTAGTGTAACCAAGATGAAGGTCTTGTAACGCACAGTCTCGAGCCTTAGGCGGAACTCTACTCAGCTACCTCATAGTGGAGCTCCCCTCACGACACACAACTCATCTCTCCGGATCCTGTAGGGTCTTAAACTCTCGTCGTCAGGCCACTCCCCTAACTAGACCGCAGTCAGCCACCCACTGAGAAGAATATCACGACTGATCACCTGGGCAATCTGCCAGGCGTCCAGAAACAGCTTCTCCTCCACACTTCTCAGCAGGCAAACGTTTTCTGGGGGCTTGTGTGTATGCGGTCAACCAAAATAGGTAGATGAAGACGTGTATGTACAATGACATGTCTGATGCTTGTGGTTACCCCGGATTCAATTTTGTAGTTGTATGCAGATAGCCATAGTGCCCAGCGAGCTATTCTTGTTAAAGCCATTATGCTAATGGCCTCATTTTCCCCAAACAACTTGAGCAGAGGCTTGCTATCCGTAACCATAATTATTTTGTCATCACCAGACAGACACTGGTGAAATTTTGTGCGCATAGGGGAGCCAGGGAAAATATTTTTGACTGTACTCGAAAACTTTGATTGAGTGCGAGTGCATTTGAAGGCATTGCACCAGGACTGTCAGCTGGCACTGGAGCATGTTTTTCTGTCAAAGGCATCCATATAATTGGTTTGGCTCACTGACAACGATCCACTGAAAGCTCGCGAACCATCTACGGCGTCAATTTGCTAAATTACGGTGGTGCTAGAAATGTGATATGGCAAAGTAAACATGACCCCAGAAGCAGGAGCCGAGCAAACTATCTCTTGAACTCTCTTGACCCCACACGACTCAGGGCTCCGCATGACCTGCCCTGGACACTGACCCTTTTGGAGTCAGTGTCCAGGAAAAGCATTCTACTGATCCTGCAGAACCCCCTAGAACTTTTAATTTGTCAACTCTGATCATTATGCCACAGCTCACCAGTGCACCACAGCTTCCGTGGGAACTTGACTTTGACCACGACGGCGCCGTAGGATATCCGAGCCGCCGAATACTGCGGGGCAGAAAAATCCGTCGGTGATGCCACACTCCGATAATGAGGGCACCCTGGCGCCTTAAAGGTGCTTACTTCCAATTGTAGGCATTGTAGCATCACGTGGCCGCCTAAGTTAGACCACGAACGCCATGATGTCTTATGGGTACGCACTGCTTATCACGGATGTACCTAGGCATATCACGGGCGTGATCCCCCTATCTCGTGAACGTCTACATTGCTCGGAGGTGGCCCATTTCGGTTATTAGGAGGGTATCAAAGCGTCGCGCTTTTTAATCCGTGTTTCGGGAGCCTCAGACCAATCTGCGCTCGAGTCTCAAGAGCAAGATGGGATATGTACAGAACAAAGTTGGTCATTATGTCCGTATTTCCCCCAGCAGTTGCCACAATTAACCATATTATGATATTATTAGAAGCATCTTATCTCAAAGTCACTGAATAATTCGTACGACGCGAGATCTGATCTTACCGCTCTCATGCCATTGTTTTTATGCGGCCGCAGCTCTGCCCCTAAGTCTGACGTAGAGCCATTACAGCCATTTACAGCTGAGCAAACCAGGTGTAAATGTATTTAACGTAAAGCTGCACGTGCCAAGATAACAAAGCCATGACATAATGATCAACACCGCATCCAGGTGAACAGTATCACCACCGGGCGTAAAGACATGGCGCGTTCGAAGCCTCATTTCCTATTTAACGGAAGCTCAGACCTTTATAAGGAGACACACATTAAAATCACAGCCTTGTTGTCAAAACGAGCTCAAATAAGAAACAATGTATTTCGTCATCACGACACATAATCAATTTGATAAGCCACCAGTAATGGCCTACCTGTCACGACACGCAGACCTTCGCCCACAGAACTTCATAATAAACCATACACGATCCAACGCATGGCGGCCCGCACTCCACACCACGCGCCTGCTGGCAAGCCCATGTCTAGCGGTGCGCCTACACGGATTCGCGGCTCGAAAGAAATCACATCCAGATCAAACATACCTGTTGAGCATTGCTAAAGCCCCTTCACAACAATATGCACAGCACAGTGTACACCCAAAACGACACGAACATTTAGCATGCCATTACAAATCATTAAATGTTATCTGATGTCACCGTGTATCAACAGTTGCATCGGTTGCCACTACGACTAGCAGCGGCGACATCCTCCATTGTCACCATGTGCCATCGGGAAACACCAGCTGCACACATGGTCGCCATGTGTCACCGCGTGTCGCCGGCTGACATCACGCGCGACACGTGTCACGTGTCACCGGGACTCGTTCAGCCTGACCGGAAATCAACACTGGGCAGGGCCCACGCGCTCACAGCGCGTGAGCGCGGGAAGCGGGTGGGCGAGCGAGGTGCGCCTACAGCGGCGCCCCGCCGGCGCCCGGCGCGTCCCGCTTCTTTGCGCGCCGGAAGTTCCGGAAGAGGCGCGACGGGATGGACGAGTCCGAGTTGAGGTCACTCTCCACGTCGCTGCGCTCCTCGGGGATGTCGGCTTGGCGGGCCGGCAGGCCGGCGCGACCGCGGCCCAGCGCCGGCCGGCCCGACGGCCGCCGCTGCCCCGCCGGCAGCTCGGCGATCAGGTTGTTCTCGTACTCACTCAGCATTAGGTAGTTCTCCACCTTGTTGCACGAGGTGATGTCGCCCTGCAGCATGTTGAGCTCGAGCTCGATGTCCTCGAAGAGCGCGTCGGGCAGGTCCATGTCGGCGATGCCCTCCTCCGAGATGCAGGTGAGCTCCTGTTTGCGTTGCTCGCCGCTGCTGTGCGCGATGGCTGTGGCGCGCTGCTTCAGCAGGCTGAGCACCCGCTCGTCCACGTCCGGCAGCGAGTCGGCCCGCGTCAGCGGCGGAGGCGCCGCCGGCTCCGGCTGCCGAGCCGCGCCGCGGTCGCCGCCGCCGTGCGCGTGCTGGTGCCGCCGCCGCCGCCGTCGCACCTGACGCCGCTGGAAGTCCATCAGCGAGATGCTGATGCTGCCGATCACGACGAACGTGGCGCTGAAGTAGTAGCCGGCCTTGCTGCCGATCGCCACGTTGATGTAGCCTGGGGAGAGTGGAGTCGGATGACGATGAGCGGCGAGAGAGATGAGAGACGACGACCTCTGGCGACGCACGCTGCCCGGAAGCGATCGGTGTCCACCGATGTGCGTCCCAGTCGACACCCTATTGTGTGCCAAAATATCCACGAAACCATACCACAGCATGTCTTCCTATATGTTTAAACATATCCACATAACCTATCTAGCGGTCAGCGGATAACAACATGACTATGCCGACGCGCTTCGGACATACCTGTGACGGGCGCACCGATAAGTACGGGAATTGCTTGCGAGCCCTGTACGAAGCCCCACGTCTTGGCGAAGTTCCGCGCGCGCACCTTCTCGTAGGTGCACATCTTCAGGCTGTACTGGAAGCCGCCGTAGAAGATGCCGTACAGCCAGGCGAAGAGGACGTAGCCGCTGTAGCCCTGCACCGCCGGCAGGGCCAGCAGGCATACGCCACAGACGAAGGCGGACGCCTGGTACAGGTACTGCCGGCTGATGCGACACTCCTGCCGACCAGAGGGGGGGGGGGGGGGGGGGGCACGACGGTCAGCTCACAGCGGTCCTGACATCTGAGTAAGCGACTCAACTGACCATGCCCTCGTTGTTCAACTTGAGTCGGTACGATACGCAATGCAATGTAAAGCCCATCACTGCACATACTTTTGTATTACCTTAGCCAGATCACGACCCATATATACACAAGCGGTCTTCAAAATGCTTTCAGCACCAGCTCCTAGGGCACGGTGATTACAGGAGGCAGGCGGTTGTACCCCAGGGTGCAGATATTTGCAGATATACACGTGCAGAGCAAGTTACTCAGTACGCGAATCTTTAGAAGACTTGCAGCTTGGTAAGATGAAAAATCTGAGATCATGATTCGACTGAAAAGTATCATCACTTGGATACATTGGTTATTACATTGACGAAATCAATATTCCTATCACCATCTATCAGAAATATCACCACAACTCCGCTAAAGTACGACTTTCAAGAACTATTTTTATCTCATGTATTCTTATCGGCGGTTTATCATGACAAATCCCCGTAATGGTAAACCACCACCATTAGATCGCCATCATACGAAAACATTCCGGAACATGCAAAAACTAGGTGCCAGCACCATGTGCGACACCAGCCTTCTCTCTGTGGCGAGATCGATGTAAATTGTTTACACCTGTGCCGCTTGTGAGGTGAGAGTTTGCACCCATTACCAACTGTCTCCCTTTGCCCTCCAGTTTTCCAAGAAATCAGCTATATGAACAAACACCGATTTGTTGGTCCATTGTGACCTCATAGATACCTTACTTACTAGACATGATTGCTTATTTCATCCAGAATGAGCCTAAGTATGCCCTGTGGACCATGCAAGCCAAACATGTTATCGCGCTTTGCCCATCGCTGAATGCAATGAGCTCAAGAGCGATATTCTAAAAGCGATTGGGGAAGGGAAGACTGAACAGCTGAAGCCTGTTGATGGATGTCATCAGCCTCAGTAGAGCCTGACACCAAGCCATATAACATTTAGTACGGCAACAGTCAATATATTTATATGTCTCGCAGGAAGGCTATTTGGAGGCATGCCACGGGTCACATGTTTTAGGGTTGCACAAAACTCAGCCACATCGGCAAACATCTTAGTTACTGACACTGAAATACTGTCTCTGAACACGTAAAATACTTAACCATTTCTAAAAGAACAATTTCCAAAAGTTTAGTAATTACAGCTGCACGCTCATTGATCTATGGCTTTGGTGCCCTCCTCCAAAAAAAATCCTGAAAATAATGACAGCATGTCGCCAGATTGCAAAATATCCATATGCTTTCTAATGCATCTATCAGTACCCGCGTGCTTTTATCAACGCATACGCATGTATGCATGCAGGCATGCATGACAATAAAAGCACTTCTTTCACCAACTTAGATGGACGCATACTATGCAGCTGTGACGAATTCACGACTATTCTGCTGAAGCGATTACGGGATGCGACCAGAGAATGCAATGAGTGACCAAAACCTGTAAGGACACGTTACAAACATTGATACAGTGTGGCAGCGCGGCACGCACCTGATTATTTCTGACGACGACGAAGCCGAAGGCGCAGCAGCCGAGAGTCCAGCCGAGGCCGAGGTAGCTCTGCAGCAGCAGCACCGAGTCGTCGGCGATCCCCTCCTGCCGTGCCTGCTGCGCCTGCACACCAAACATGGCGCAGGTGGTTCAATGGGCCTGCCCGTCTACTGCCCCTCGTGGTAACTGGCTTGACTTTCGATCGGTTTCCGGTGACATGTTCCAGCGCTGATATTGACCTGATTTTAAACAATGCTCGGAAAAATATGAGATAGAAATGGCTCACAACCCATTAACAAATTTCCGAGTTCAAGATTTGACATGCGCCTGGTTCCCAACGCAGATTTCTGGTTCCGGCTTCTCGCTCACGGGGACGAATGGGAATACCAAACCATGGGCCGTGGTTTCCATTGGTTCTTTCATAAACACCAACTCCATGTTCCTGGATCCCATTGGTTGTTTTTCAAAAACCAGACACTGTTCCTTCACCAACTTTAGACCAGGTTTCCTGATTCCCATTGACTTCTTGGACGAAGTGGTCCCTGGCAAGAATTCTAGGCAAAACCTTCATTTTCACTAGTTCCCTCTGATTTGTTCTGGGCTTTGGTGCTTTCTACGTGCTTGGAATAATTCCAGGAAATCTAGACATATTTCAGGCTGGATCTTGGTAAGGATGGAGATTGGTTCATCCTGTGCCTTTAGACACTGCTAGACTGTTTCTTGTTGGTCACCTGTATACATTCCAAGCTGGATCTTGGCTCTTACCGGATCTCTCAGCTTAGTGTCAAGCTGTATACTGAATGTTGCTTGATCTCGGCTCGAACTTGACCGAACGTAGTTTGTAGGCTCCTCCTTCCAGAACCAGAAATACGACTAACCGCCCCCTACGACTAACCGCCCGTTGCTGAACCGGGATTGAATCGTGGTTTATGACCAGCAGGAGAGTGAAAAATAATTTTAAGATTCAAAAGAGATATGACAGTCCCGTGCACGTCCAGCTGGTACTACCACTCCCCGACATCAAATGCCACAAAGCTGTAATTGTACAGTTTGCTATGCCATGAATAGTTGCTGGCGCATCTTTTTTTTTTGATCGAACGCAAGAACCTCACATTGCAAGTGGTGTAACGCACATCTTGGCTTTTGATGGAACGCGACGCAAACCGTGGCACATTCTTTTAAAAAGCCCCCGCGACTGCAGTGACCCTCAGGTGTCATGGAGCTGCCGGGATTAGAACCCGAGCCCCGAAGTCAGAGCCGAAGGTGCCACCCGCTCGGTCATTGCATCCTTTTTCCGTGGTTTTGTTGATCGCTCTTTTTCTAACACCGATGGCCGACGCACTTCTACCCGATGGTGATAGGCTACAACAGTACAATGATGTTAACACTACCACGCGTTTTGCATCAGACTTTGTGAAACTGACAAAACTACATTAGAAACCAACCAGGGGAAAATAGAGAGCGTTGCGTCGGTTTTTATTCTGAGCTCTCTCATGCTATACAAAAGTGAAGACAGAACTGATTTTTTTATATCTGCAAACACACATCACCTTCAGCTTCATATGTCGAGATGAAATTTTGAGGAGCACGCCTTATGTGGCCCAATGTGCACCCAATGCGTTCGTCTGTGCTATTTCGTAATTCATCGTGATAGCAGCATGACACATTTGTGTTTTTTATCGATCAGCGTTTCTTTTACTGCTGCCACTGCGGTTTTGCTGCTCAGGTATAAATCATGGTTCCTCACAAGTAATGTAGTTGTCGACTTGTATTCTGAATGACAATAAGTCATGACAATCATTTAAGTCAATCATTGACGGTTCGGTGCGTTATATCATTGGTACAATATGTCACATGCACAGCTAATACAGCATGTATCGCCCGACATCTTGGAAAAAAGCTCGTGTCACCCCGAAATCCTTCGGAAGCAGACACCAAACATTTTGCAGTGTATACGACAAATGCAATTTCCCACCACTCTGCATAGATTTCAGATTAGTCTAATTATGCCGTAAGGCCTTTACATTTCAAAACTGAAAAAGCTATCAGTTTGAAATCCAGATCAATAGCTTACACCGATGTGCAAGACATATAGCTGTCGCGTGAATCCCAAGACGGGTGCAGGAATGTGGTCGGAAGCACACTAACACAGGCACGGGTAGCTGCTATGCGTCAGCTGAGTGATTCAAGGCTGCCATCCATCGCCTAAATCTGGAACAAATCGCTCTGATACTACCTAGACATGATGCGACTCATCCCACTCTCCCCCACAGGCTCGACCACAGGGACTCTGTCGCTGGGAACGTCACTGAACGCCCACACATCATGCTCCAGTCACAGCGACTCGAGCCCGCCTTGACCTGGCCGTGGTAATGCCGTGGAAATGCTCCCCTGTTGAGGCTGTAGCCACCGTACCGGTCAGCGTTCACGACAGCTGCCGCTGCCTCCGTTGTGAACTTCACGGCTCGGTCTGCAGCAGAGTGGTGCTGGCGGCCCACACGTTTTCAGGAACACGTGGAGCAGCTCCTGGAGTTCGCTATCACCCGTACCTCTCACATTGTATACTACTCTGCCGCCCACCTAAAGGCGACTACAGATGTTCATTCACGTGAGCAGGTGTTGGCTCCATGGTTGATTTTCGAGCGTTTATAAGCTCTGATCGGCAGTACTGACGGGCTATCCTGACCGGAGCGACTGCCTCAGTCCTGAGGGGTCCATCCTCGTCGTCAACATGACCAGCACGACGTTTTCCCGATGCTCCATGAATGCGTTTTTGTTCAGGCTGTCCCCCGACCGAGTCCAGTGGCTTTTCCCTCGGCGTTTGGCATTGCTCTCTAATGTGGTCACGTATGTTCCGGAGGATGCCCGCAAGGTCACTTTGACTCTTGATAGCGAACACGGTGGACACGCCGGCACGGACCACGCACCGTGCCATGGCTCGACGACGGTCAGCTCGACGCTGCGGCACGGTCCAGCCACGAAACACCGGAGGCGGAAGCTATCAGCCGTGTACCAGCGTGTCTGGTTCGGCTTACGTGTTCGGCTTACGTTGCGCTCTACGTGTGACGCTGTTGCCATCACTGCTCAACACACACTTAACGCAACGATACAGCAGCGACAGGCTCTTGCTGAGGCGGACCAGACATCACCCGGCAGGTCAGGGAACTCGTCACACCACATGGACGCGAATGGGTCCACGGACGTGTCGTCGACTTCTCACAGGCCATATATCTCCAATGGGGCTGGCCCAGGTGATCGGCCCCGTGGTCCAACCATTCAACTTGTGGGACAGCGCCCCTGGCACAGCCTGGTGGCTGCCCGACGGGGTGCTGTCAATTCACTACTGCACCACTTTAGTCAGCGCGGGTTGACCAGCGTCGCCAGGCACACTGGTACAAGTCTTAAGCATTCTCTCTCCCAATCTCAAAGCCGTTTGGCTGGTGTCCCGGTGTCGACCTGAGCACACTGGCATGCTAAGTCATCAGTGAGTAGGTGGCCCGTGGTCGCCATCGAGGCTCGGATTGACCTCGTGGACGCGTCACGGCACATTGGCGACCAGAGGAGGCGGCAACGCCTGGCTGGCAATTCACTGAACATGTTGGAGAGCAAGATGGACAGAAACGCAGTAATGGCGTGTCCGGAAGACATCGTACAGGCCGTGCTGGTGGCTTGGATGAGCATGTCAGGGCTGAGTCGGTAACCTTGGGTTCCCACTCAGTAACCTTGGGTTCCCACTTGGGGAAAAGCCGAATGGAAAAAGTCGCACGAAAAAGAAGAGCGCGAATAGTCCAAAAGGATTAAAGTTATCCAGAATGGAAGTCGAATAGAAAAAATGTTGCGCGCCAAAAAGACAAAAGGTATAAAAGTCAACAGGGATGAAGTTGAACAAAGTCGGTTGAGTCGGAAAAAGTCAACGGGCAAAAAATGAACGAGAATATAATTAGAGTTGGAGAAAGTCTCAAAAGTCAATGGGGATAAAAGCCAGAGCGGAGAAAAGCTGAAGGAATCAAACTCGACAGCAGTACACAACATTGGAACGGACAAAGAGCCAACAGGAATAAAACTCGAATAACAAAAAGTCGATATAGACACGACAGGCCTGCAGCTTCTGGTTTTTCGGCGCTATGAATTCAAAGGTCTTATGCTGAGTCATCGACCTTTAATACACCATCGGACACGCATTAAATGACGTTATAGGGCAAACATTGTGTTGACAGAATTCAATGTGTTACGCCGTGATTATGCTCATGAGGTCATATTTACCTCAAAATTGGGCACAACCGCACTCAAACAGCGAGCGCTCCTCGCAGGACCGCCGCCTTCGAAACTTTACCACCAAGCCGTACTGAACACGCCCTAAGGCTACCACGGGACCACTCTGCTGTGGGTACGCTGCTAGCTTCGATCAATGCCCATGAAAATTCCCTGTCTAGCGATTTTTTGGGACGGTGACGAGAGACACAGGCGCCTACAGCAGGAGGCGACGCACAACGGCGGTGCGGTGCCCGTGCCCGTGCCCACCAGATCCGTCCGTTCGTTAATCCAATGTTGGATAGGCATGCGCCTGGTTACCAATGCTTGGTCCTAGCTCCCGCTTCCCCTTCTGAAAATAAGATCTTGGATCTTTGGTTCCGACCCGTTATTTCATAAACCATACTGTCGACGTCGACGTCTATCCCTGTTAACTTTTTTCTTTGGATTTTTCGTTCAAGTTTTCCCACTCAACTTTTTATGTTCGGCTTTATGTTCGGATGCCGCCGCCCCGGTCAGGACAGCTCGCAAGCACCACCTGCCGGGGCCAATCAGAACTTACGAACGCCCGAAAAACAGCCTCAGAACACAGACGGCGAGACTGCCACACGAGGTTCTTCATGACATAGATGGTGATGGTGAACCTCGGTTGGGTGGCAGGGTACAGTGACATACCATGTAAGAGGCACGGATGATAGCGAACTCCAGGGATTGCTCCACGTGTTTCTGAAAACGGGTGTGCCCAGCCCAGCCCTTCTACAGCGCGAGCCGTGAAGCTCACAACGGAGGCAGCGGCAGCCGACAGGAGCGCTGACCGGTACGATGGGTACAGCCTCAACAAGAGAGCGTTCCCATGGCGTTGCCACGGTCAGGTCAAGGCAGGCTTGAGTCGCTATGACTGGAGCATGATGTGTGGGTATTCAGTTATGTTCCATGCCATAGAGTCTCTGTGGGCTGTCACATACGTGGCCTTTCGCGAAGTCTCATGCAAAACGCCTAGCAGTGTCAACGCCAATGTTTTGTTGTAACCTATCACCCTCGCAAATAAATCACAGTCAATTCACCATGCAATTGCTGTCATTGAAAGTGTAATTAATGGACCAAAACAAGAAACATTGGATTGGTTTTGCTTTGCATTTTATGTCGAAATCAAATTCACATTCCGTTCATCAAAACTGATATCGGCTACGGCTATGAATGACGCAGCAAAGTACACTTGGAATCGGGATCTTGTAGCCTACGTTTACAGCAAATGAATCGCAACCAGACGGATCTGCAAGGAACAGTGGATATATCTTCTGTATATTTAAATCTTGTTTACATGGCTGCTAGTCTCACAACGCAAGTTAATATTAGCTTTCATTGGAAAGTTGGTTATATCGGCGCTACTTCTTGTTACAGAAAAAAAAAACTGTTACTTCCGCGTCAGGCAGCACCCGAACACACCAGCTTCGGAGCATTGTCGTAATTGAAACAATGACAGTACATGCCTGCTTTCTCTGTCAACTTAATCGCACTGCTTTGCAACTAGCTTGGAAAGCTCTGTCTCGGCCAATAAAGATTTGTTTCTTAAGTTCTACCCCGAAAGGTCCAAAGCATTTTACACTCTTAAGTTTCTTAACGGATCATACCACATTACCAACTCATCCTCTGTAAGGCCACGCTCGCAATCAATACTTGAAACTGCGCAACGAACCGGTAGGAAATAAAAACCTTTCCATACAAGTTGTAAAACAAATGGGCTTTATGTGACAGCCCTAACACTGCCATGCAGCTGTTCCGGATCCCGCTGGTGAAACGATTTCTCCTTCTCTAGTTACAAAAGAGCCTTTGCTACTCCCGGGTCCTGTCGCGAACGAACTTGTGAGTTGTGACAATGTGGCAGAAGCTGCTCTGTGTGCAATTAAAGCGCGCGGGACGCTACATCATGTCATCTGCGCCCTTGTGCCGCTCCGTGGCAGCCTGCAGAGCGGCGCCGCTTCGGCGTGCGCCGGCCGCTGTGATGACTGACCAGGTATATGAGCGGCGTGTGCAGGCCCAGGGAGCTGAGGCTGGTGGAGACGAGCAGCACCCGCACCGTCCTCGACCTCAGCATCGAGAAGTCGAGGAACGGCGGCTTGTCTTCCACCTTGGTCTTGCCCTTCACCTGCCGGAGGTCGCGCGGCGCTCATGAGCTGCGCACGCAGAAAGCGTGACGCACTGGTGATCTGACAGGATCAATAGAATGATGTTTCGGCTCCATAGCACACGGATGAGAACGTACCTATGCATTTTTACCTGCATGCGTACGAACATATGGCACCTCGTTAGAGCTTGGTTTTATCCTTGCTTATTGGTGGCCTTCCCTTTCTTTTGTGACTACAGCGGCGACCCGTGAGTAGTGACGGCCCACCTTTTTCTTGGAGTGCTTCAAGTGGAGGATGGCCCTGCGCTGCGGGTGATACAGCGAGGCGGACCGGTAGAAGGTGCCCAACAGACAGGTGAGCACTATGACCCCGGTGACGGCCTGGAGGCCCAGGCGCCAGCCGGCCGCCCTGCCGACGAGCACACGGAGCCGGACATGAGCTGGCGGATGCTGGGAGAGCGCTGTCAGGGCTGGGAGACACTCGCCGCGCTGCACCTCACAAAACTATAAGTGAAGGGAGCACGTGAGACGAATACGTCAGGCTCGGCACCACCACCCATGCATGGCCTGCCATGGACGCGGGCTTTCATGATTGGTAGACGTTACATAGTAAACACAAAAAACGGCTTTCTAAAATGGCCCGGCTCAATTCTACATATGTGTCCTTCACACTAAGCTTTAGCCGAATTCACTGAGCTCCAAGGTGAAAGTCAGTGCACTGGGAGTCAAGGTTCGCCTATATTCTTTTTTCAGGCTCTTTTACTGGGAATCCTAGGAATAAAATAATCAAACCACTGCTGTGCCCATTCCCTGGTGTCACTCAAAGAGGAAAGTCTCAGACGGGTGGCAAGTGACAGGTGACTGGGCCAACCACTCACTGTATGGCGCCCTGAAGCAGCGCGGACATGAGCGCCAGCCCGACGCCGCTGCCCGACATGACGACCGTCTCCACCAGCTCACGACGCCGCTTGAAGTACTGGCCCACCATCAGCGTGGACGCGTCCCGGGTCATAGAGACGCCCACCGCTGCCGGCGGGGCCGCGGGTCAACAGGACCGGCCCGATGTGACCGGTGGGAGTACGTCCCGAGACGCGGAAAAGGCTATCGGTGCCAGAAGGTCAAGTCACGGGTCATGGGTCTCATGTCACATCTCAGCAACAGCGAACTGGCATGATGTGTCTAGAAGACACCGACAAATGTCGCGAGAGCAATGAAATCGAAGCCCCCAAGCTGCATCGCATTATTGTAATAACCCGAAAACGCCATCGCTCGGGCCCTAGAAACCTCATCGTCATCGTAAGACCTGGAGCCACGGTTACTCAGTCTACGTGATCAATTATTTCAGTCTGGTCTAGTTTAGTTTATCTACAATATGTGGCCTCACAATCACACGTGCCTATGTGGATCTGCGACAGCATGCGTGTGCATGTCAAGATAAAAATCAACATACACTTATAACCCAGCCTGTCCTCTGGGACTTCAGCACATTGAACATGATAATCTGGTTTGGTAGACGCCCAATTCTGTTAAGCGAGATCGTGTCTCGCGATCCGTGGCTCGGGTTTTAGACTCCCTTTAATATTGCTGGTTTCTTTAAAAATTGCATGCTTCGTGTTTACATTCAGGGTATAAACCAGCCTGAACTACGACGGCAAAAGGCCATCTCTTACCATGAAGTTTTCAATCAGTTAGCCATGAAGGGAGGAAGGGGAGGGGAACAAAGCCGTTGGTCCTAGGCCGACCGTGAATCGTTGCTGGAACAAACCGACTGAAGGCAATGCTTCCTTCGCGGCTCTTCACGACTTGTGCTGAACAAAGACTTTATCGCACTATCGGATATCCAGCACAACTGCTGGTGAAGCTAGCCAGGAAGTCCAGCATCCGTGGCAGGAAGGAAAATGGCAACCAAGCCGGCCTTCACCCGTCAACCCGTATCCGGACATTGTCTTCACACCATTCGGCTTTATGTACAGCATCAAGGACGTAACCATAGCGACGAGTCACCCGAAACGACAGCGCAGTCGTGTGGACGGTCCCCGAGTTACCCAAAAGGGCCTTACAGTCGTGTAAACGGTCCCTGAGTGTTTATTATCTTTTTACGAATCATGTAGAAATATGCTGCCATGCTTCCACGAGTGTGCGCTGCGGTAAACAGTCGCGGTGAGATCGCAGCACCACGAGCACGGAGTCCCACACTCCCGCGCTCACTGCTGCAACGCGCGCCATCTACCACCGAACTCTGGCGACTGCCGACAAGCCATTGCGTATGGTCCACCACCTGACAAAACCCACGCCAAGGGAGTTAAGCCAGAAAGGCGAGTGATGCTGCAGGAAGCTCTTCACAGCCTTATAAAAATTCAACGTTTCCCTCGACCTATTGAACATTGCATGGGCCGAGGATAGTGATGCAAATTCAAGCAAGACAGCGATTAAAACGTGCTTCAACATCGCTTCTGCCGCCTCCCACTTTCAGTGAACTCTTGCGATTGTGACGCAACCAGCGTAATACGATGACTGGAGTCGTCTTTGCTTACCGAATATGGTTCCGTACGAGATGAACAGCTGGTGGAAGCGAGACGCGAAGGAACTGAAGAGGATGCCGAGCGCGGCGACCAGGCCCCCGAGCACAGCCGTCAGCCGGGTGGACTTGCGCCGGCAGATGGCGATGGTGAGCGGCGACAGCAGCCAGGAGAGCGCTATCGACATGGCCCCCAGCCAGCCTGCAGGGCACAGATGCGGGAGGCGGTCAGCGAGGTGGAGCACGCCCGCAGGCGACCTCGAGCACAGGCGCGGGAGGCGGTCAGCGAGGTGGAGCGCGCCCGCAGGCGACCTCGAGCCCAGGCGCGGGAGGCGGTCAGCGAGGTGGAGCACGCTCGCAGGCGGCCTCGAGCCCAGTCGCGGGAGGCGGTCAGCGAGGTGGAGCACGCCCGCAGGCGACCTCGAGCACAGACGCGGGAGGCGGTCAGCGAGGTGGAGCACGCCGGCAGGCGACCCCGAATACAGGTACGGAAGGCGGTCAGCGAGGTGGAGCACGCCCGCAGGCGGCCTCGAGCACAGGCGGGAAGACGGTCAGCGAGGTGGAGCACGCCGGCAGGCGACCCCGAATACAGGTACGGAAGGCGGTCAGCCAGGCACCCCGGCAACGCTGCGCGCGCTCACAAGCGGTCCCAAGGCGCAGCCTGGCGAAGGAAGTCCACCAGAGAGTGTCAGATATGCCGCTCTTCGTCTCTGGTGTCGACAAAATGATGTAGTCCGCAAATATCCGTGCTCATTCTCATTAACCACGGCGGGTTATGTCAACTGACGCGTCGCCAATTGCCCCTACCCCGTCGGTCAGCTATGTGGCGCCACTGCGCAGGTCTCAGCCTCCCTCCCCCCCCCCCCCCTATCCGATGCTGGTCAGCCGCCACGCTGAAGGCGTAATACTGCCATGTTCTCGTTAGCCTATCTTTAATCAAAGTATGCAGTTTTCCTGCTGATCCCTCTCGTGCACCAAATCATTTGCATCAGTGCTGTAGACTTTGAAATGATTCTATAAGTCTATTTGTCCTTGAGCTGCGATGAACTGTCCTGACAGCTGTATCACTCACACTGACATTGAAGGAAGTGAGTTAAAGCTGCGTTATGACCCGGCGGCTGCTCGGTCTTTGCTTTTTTGTGCTGGGGGAGGCAGCTTTAATATCCAGGACCAATTGACCTACTTCGCTAATCAGAACATAAGATACCACTAGATTGGAAAACCCAGTGCATATCAGCATATTGACTTGCCAGACTCAAAAGTTCAGGCTAAATGAAATAACTCGGAAGTTTTTAAACTTCATGAAGCCCCAGCATGACAAAGTGCCGAAGGCCAATGTTGACATCTCACAGCGTTCGATGAAAATTCCTTCAAGTGTCATCTGATGCGCTAAGTAGCGGCACAATTTTCCGCCCAATCAAAGAAAGGCGACTTAGCAGTGGCCCGGCGCGTGTTTGACATATCGCTGCATGCTTCTGTTGGTAGCATGCCTGCAACTAACGAAAAACGAAAGGAATTATGCGACATCACATATAGTTTAACTCGCCTTGATCTGCCGATACCCTTCCACGTTTTTTTATTTCCGTATTATATATTTCCGACCTGAGAATGCATTGCTGAGCGTGATGTGAGGGCCGTATTAATGTATAACCTCTCAAAGTAAAATACACCGGTCAGTAAACCTTTCACAGCATCGAAGGCGTCTTTCCAAAAATTTAGTCTGAAGCACGGTTGTAAGCTTCGTTGGGAGCGTTCAACGCAGCCGAATGATATATAAGCAAATCCGTCATTGCAAAATCCATCGTCAAATCCAAATATATTCTCAGACGCTCGTATCATTTGGCGAAAATTTTGGTGAAGCTGCATTCATACGTCGCCACAGCACAATCTCTTTCCAGGCCTCATAACCAGTCTCAGGCACACTGTCGAATATGCTCGAGCCACGCCCCCCCTCCCCACTGTACCGGAACGTGCCGGCCCCCCGGCCTTAGTCCCTCTCCGAAGAGAGACTAGCCCTCCGCCTTGTCCCTCTTTTCCCCGGGTCGGGCCAGCATCCAGCCACTGACGTCGCGTGCCGACGACCGTCTCTTCAGCCGCAGCTGGCTCCGCCGGCCCCGAATCGCCGACAGTGCGCCGGTGGCCTAGTCCGGCACGTCGCCGGAGCTGAGCCCGCTGGCTTCAGTGGCGACGGCAGCGGCCAGCGCTGGCCCCAGCGGCGCAGCACCTGGTCGCAGCGGCGTGGCGCTCGGCCGCAGCGGCGCGGCGCCCGACCCCAGCGGCGCGACGCTCGGCCGCAGCGGCGCCCGGCCCCAGCGGCGCGGCGTCCGGCCGCAGCGGCGCGGCGCCCGGGCCCAGCGGCGCGGCGCTCGGCCGCTGCCGCCGCCGTCGCCGGCTGGCTGCCATGGCCCGGCCGTCGCGCCGGCCTCGTATTACCGCCTGCACCGGAGTTTATCGCCGCCGACAGCGCTCGGCCGTCACACAGAGTAGCCGCGATCTGGGAAGGGTCCGAGTGGGACGACGGGCCGGGCAGGAACTCACGGTCCCGGAGAGGGACGATATGGGACGAAGTCCGGGCGGGACGACGGATAGCGTCGGGGCTCAAAATCCCAGAGAGAGACGATGTGGGACGGAGTACGGGCGAGACGAAGGATAGCATCGGGGCTCAAGATCCCGGAGAGGGACGATGTGGGACGGAGTACGGGCGAGACGACGGATAGCGTCGGGGCTCAAGATCCCGGAGAGGGACGATGTGGGACAAAGTCCGGGGGAGACGACGGATAGCATCGGGGCTCAAGATCCCGGAGAGAGACGATGTGGGACGGAGTACGGGCGAGACGGCGGAGAGCGTTGGAGCTCACGGTCCCGGAGAGTAGTATATGCAGTGGTACGCTTCTCCGAAATGCCTAGGCCATTCAGTGTTTCTTTTGCCGACATTTTTCACTGGACGGGTACTCATACATGTGAAATTAAATGTGCATAGGGCTCGAACGATCTTTACTTGTGCCTTTAACTCTACCATTGATTAAGCCGGGGAACATTTCTGAAGACGGCTCACACCGTCAGTTTCAGCAAAAACACACCAAAGCTGCTCCGAACAAAAACCTCAACAATATAGTGCATAGCATTTTTAAAAACTAAATTGTTTAAATGGGGTTTCTGTGTTTATGGGTTTCCTTCTTAGAGTGAAATGCTGTCCTATGCATTTATTTCAGCTGTAAGTGAGCCACACCACTTCCCGTGAAAGCGTGAAATCTTTGGACCTATTATCATCTGAAAAGTAGGCATGTTTGATGCTGGTGGACAAAATGGTGCACTTGATCAAGCCCATTGTTCAATACTACCGTACGGACAACTAGGTGTCACTACCAGTTGAAAAGAAAACTACGTATTCTGCGCAGCAAAAGTCTTATGAATAAACTTACGTACATCTTATGAATAAAGTAGTAAATGACTCAAGCCACTCTAAAACAACTCAGGCACGCGGTGGCGTGATCCCGCATTTTTAACGTTACATCGCACAGATTAGGACATTTTTATTGAATGATTCCCACCATTTGATTTCTGCCGCCTTAATCTACTGATTCTAGAATAAACTCCATTGTTATGAAAAACACGTACAATATCTTTAATTTTGTTGCTTTCCGCCAGCATAATACGTCTCCCAGGTCGGGTTCCGGGCGCACTGAACATAGTCAGCTGACAGACACGTCATTATTTGGCGGTCCAGCGCCTGGAAAGTGCTGCAATCAGTGAGATGGCAGCCAACAGAGGTCGTGCACATAACTCCTAATTTATTACCGTCTATATCACCGGCGCCATCGACTGAAAACTATCAGCAGCTTCCCGAACAGCTGTTCTCGTGTATCACGTAGTATCTGTCGCTAACGGCCCCCGATAACTGCTACGTGCCTGACGGAAGGGTGAAAGCTACGGCAGCATGTGTGTTGGTAACTTGCTGGCGTTTTGACCGCAAGTAAGTTACCCATAGCGGTGCTGGCTCTTATTTTGGAGAAGACAAGGTAATGTTGCATTGCCGCAGCATTGTATCAAAGCAAATCTGGTAAAATAGGAAGCTAGTAAGTTCCTTTGAGTACAAATCAAACCAGTTAATAGCCACAGGACAGATAAGAGCCAGTGGTGCTCACGAGCGGATGGGGATACTGGCCCCTACACCTCCTTCGGTGGCAAAAGCAGTGAACCAGAGCATTAAGAAAAACAATAAAATGAGATTCGCGACAGTGTGAAATTCCACAGTGATCACTGCACGGCAGACCAAAGCGCAACATGAGAAAGGAAAGCTGCTGTGAGGGTTCAGCGCTGCTGCATAAGTGCTCCTCTTGGGCCATTCCTGCCCAAACTCACTCCTGAGAAAAGTCGGTGAGCGCGCCTGCATTTGGAGCGCGATTGCAGCCTATAATAGATCGCATACTTATTTGGTCTGTAGCTTGAAGAAAAGTTGTAGCATGGCAGGGCGTTTAGGCGAAGAGACTGAATACACATCTGGGCGTGGGAAATCCCGGTGGAGAACAGTTTTGTACATAACGATTCCCCACTGTATTAAAGGAAAGGCATGCGCTGGAACGACACGAGTGGTTTGTCAACTCTGTCAGCACGTACTGTACAACCAAAATCAGTGTACGTTGCCTCGATCGCGCTGCTGGATTTGCTACATTGGGCTACCATACATTGACAAAGCTTGTCGGTCACAATTGTCCCTGATTTCTCACCACTGGTTGACAGCCTCTAGCAATTAGTTCGATAATGCTTTTGCGACGCCCGCTTGATAACCACACCCACTGATAACGCCCCTTTATTCATTTCGTCTCCTGGGAAGGATCCCTCAGCTGGCCACGCCGCCCGCCGGGCGAGCCACGCCAAGAATGTGAGCGCGTGTTAGCGCGGATGACTGATCGCGCCAATGACCGTCTGGTGCACCAGCATCCCTTGCCATTGTTCTTGAGCTGGCATGCGTCGGCCATGAATAGGTGGTCGACAGGTAAAAACGCGCGCGCCTACGCGCGTCTGCAGAAAACGGGACGGCCAGGTGCACGCAAAAACAGGCGTCCTCTGCAGTGGCTGAGAGAGGGAAACCATTCCTGCCGAGTGTCCAGCCGTTCCCTCCTTTACGCTCAGATCTCACCCCTGCTGCCAATGAGCACGTTGTCTGATAAGCCTGGCTATGTCGTGCATGTACTAATTCGGACACTTAAGTATATACTCAGTGTACCCATAATGTGCCTATTCACCCTGCCCATAGGTAGTGTAAGAGTGGCTATTAAGTGGTCATTTACTTCCAGCCTTTGTTGAGCAAATGATAACGGTGGCCAATCTTGGAGGTCATATTCACTGTCACGACGGTGGGGTCACCTGCTTGCTCGCCAGCTCTTGGCGCAAGGTCTCAGAGAAAGTGCCACAATAGCCAACGTCATAGACGAGGAGTTAGATATGCAACAGGACAATTGAGGGAGACAGATCAACACCGAGGACTTGAGCACGACGCTACAATGAAAGCAAAATTATTTCGGCATTACGAGTTCGGTGGTCTTCTGCTGAGTTATCGGTCTTCAGTATTCCAGGAAGCACTGGTTAAACGACGTTATAAAGCAGACATTGACGTGTTGACAGCTATCGACTTTTCAAATCGTGCTTATGACAATCGTTATTGGAGTTTTACGACACTCTCAGCTGCTCAGGCTATAAGGTGTCGCCTGCCTCTCACCCTGGCAGGAAGGGCGGACACAGTGGGAAGTCGAACCCCCTATCCCTGCTTTCCCAGATACGCAGCTTAGCCACCACACTATCGGTAGCCCTGTGCTTATGATCACGATCTCTTGACGATTGGTGCTTAATGATTACGATGATAATCGTCTGTTTGTGTGCATGATATCAAGAACAACTTTACTATCAGCGACATCACTGATCCAGCGACATCAATCTCTTCGTCCTGTACACAAAAACAATGTTACAAAGGTCTGTTTTGTGCTACTCTCTACCTTGCCAAGAATCCTGTGAAGATATCACCGGTTATAGAAACTCATAGCAAACGTCTTTAAGCAGACAGGGAAGGTTTGGGTACGCGAGAGATGATCTGATGGGTTCCACAAATCAGAGGTGCACCTGCGCCAAAGTTCAGTAACGTGAAAACTGTGTTCAGTGTGGTATATCTGACGCAATCTATGCATGTGTATGCACAGCGCTTCTCCAAGCCTTTGCTGTGCTTTAAGTAGCAAAAAGCTTTTGAGTACCTAGAAACAAATCAGCAAGCTCTGTGAACTACTGGTGACGAAATGTGAGCACATACTGGAATCTCATATTTTGTCGTTATGCCTCGTCACTTGGTTTCAATACGACGTTAGCGACAAGTGGTTTCAACGCGACGTTAGCGTTCAGTACGACCAGCACCTCGGCATTTAAGCTCTCTATTATTGGCGTTCTGTTCAAATGTTGCCATTGCGACTCTAAATCTTAATAAGATGCAGCGCAGAGCCTATTCTGGATAGATTAGTTTGCAGCTTGACAACTGACCTTAAACGTCTTGGAGTCTGACTGTTTTTATCATTTTGTTGCTTAACTACAAGTATTTTACTCTGGTCTACCATTTACACGCTTTGCATATCAATGTACACTCCGTGGCCTATCACTCCTTGCAGTGCAAACCGCTCTGAATACGAACGGCTTCAAACCACGCATAAGCGACAGGAGCAATGCCTTGAGTTGCTACTGCCGTATATAACTTGCAACAGCGCTATCCCTTGATGTACACCGTCCTACTCGCCGAACGCATGGTGACGCTCAATCGTGCACATAATGTGAGGGAAAATGGTAACGATTCGTTTGTAGCCCTTTGAGCTTCGGCACAGTATCGTAAGCAAATGAAGTTTCCAGTTTGAGAAACGTACGCAGTGAGAAAAAAAGACATGTGTTGTTTTTGCTTGGCCGTACCGTCAAATCAAATAGGAAGTCAATTATGCTATAATTCCCAGAGTTCGTGAGCGCACTGCAGGGAACAGGCATCTTTTAATCGTGCACAAAGCATTTCGCTCCCTATAAAATGCATGCAAACTGTAGACATGTTTGAATGCCTGAAAATTCTAAATGTGTCGTCTAACGAGGAGAACGAAACATGTTGACTGACGACTAAATGTGCCGTCCGTTTTAAACACGAGAGGAATCACCTTGTTGCGCTCTAAGGTTTGGAAACGTGTTGCGAAATACGCACGGTGGTCGGTTTAATCACACACTAGCCACTACTCCCTCACCATGCTTCGGGTAAACCTTGTTTTGAAAGTTTTAGCCAATCAGGTCATGGATGATGTCAAATACCCTCTTATTGGGCAACCAATGTATGTGTCGCTCAAGCACGTACTTATTGTATATGGACAAAACAGCTATTGCGCTGCTCCATAAACTGGCTAAGTCATTGATGCATAGGTTTGCCGAATTACACACATCCAGCATGTTAAAAATTGCCCTCCTGCGGTTTAAATAGGCGACATGTTGATTATTGCAGGATGAAAGCATTAACAAAATAAGCCCAGTAAAATACGACAAGGGTTTGCTATTTTAGACGTCAGGGAGACTTCACCATTGCAAAACAGTTCTTACGCACGCACGCTTGTGACACATTGTCCTGCTAAAGCTGTGTCCAAAGTATGACCTCATGTAAGTGACATTAACGGAGGAGTGGAGGAGAAACTAAGGGATAGAAACCAACAAGGAGGGAATGCAAAAAAGACCCTCGACACGATACAGAGCTGTACCCACGCCTGTACCCTGCAACACATCGTACGTACTGCTCAATACCTTTCTTGCTATCTACTCTTACGAACTCCGCTATCGGCCAAACGTGCAGCAACTCGCAAATACATCGCATTACAATTCAGATAAGCATGTCGGCGTAAATCCACCAGGATTCCGTTCGTTGCTCCTCAGCCCGTTCGGCTCACTCACCGACCGTCAACGGCGGCCGCCGAAACTCCTCGGCCGCGGGAGCCGCCATCACACCGAAGCTGCTCTGCAGACCGTGCACCAGCACGTTGACGAGGGCGTGGCAGAGCGCCACCACCCAGCCCCAGTGTCCTTCGAGGTAGTAGTGCTGCGCGATGGTGGCGGCGAGCGCGTGCCGGCGGGAGGGCCGCGGCCGCAGCGGCTCGATGGCGGCGCCACTCGGCGGCTCCGAGTCGACGCCCGAGTCGGCCGCGCCGCCGGCCAGCGACGGCAGCGAGCAGGAGCGGAGCAGGCGGGCGTCGGCCGGCACCCACTCCATGGCGGCACTGGCGCCGCCGGGCGGCCCTCAGCGGCGCCGACGCCCTCAGCTGCGGCGCGGCGGAGCAGCGGCGCCGCTGACGCCGCTGGGCGCACCTCGCCTGCGCACTGGGCTGGTACCGGGCGACGGGGGAGCACTGCCGCTAGAGATGCGTCTTCGAGATGCGGTACCCGCTGACGTCCAGGGGTATTTTCGCCACCACCGATGGCAATGTGTAAGGTGGCTTTGAACCACCGTTACGAAGTCGCCACCGAGCCGGCGAGAACGTGAGGAGCCTTCCTCGTCCGTGACCTCAGTGACCTTCGCGGTTCGGACACCACCATTGCGACGCCCGCTTGGAACGGCGCCGTGCCGCGCAATGCTGCGAAAATGAGGGGAGCTCCAGCCCCGTCAGTTCCCTTATCTGTAACACTGGCCGGACTGGGCAAGGCTTTGGTCCCTGTGCTCCCCGTTGCGTGATCCCATCCGTTATCCCCCACGACCATGACCCATCCGTGCTCTCTGAGACCCATCTGCTGTAGTTCTGAGTCCACCAGCCGATCAACATCCTCGCCCCCTCCCGCTCCCGCCGAGCCCCCACAGTCGCCGAAAACGGCGTCTCCGGCGCAGAGGGCGCGCACCATGGCCCCCAGAGCCGCCCCGGGCGGCAGCGCCGACCGGCCAGACCCGTCCGCCCGCTGCAGCCGTATTATCGGCCCATGTCTCACAGCTCGATCACTGTTTGTGCCCCGGGCGATCGGCCGGCGCCGTATCGGCTTGTATATGGCGATCGGTTCGAGGCGGCCGGCCACCGCCGGCGTCGGCGCGCAAACGACCTCCGCGTCGGCCCCGACGCAGAACGCGTCCGGCTATCGTCGGCGCCGACGGAGCAAAGTGGCCTCGTCGGCGAGATAAAGAGGTGCGAGTTTTGGAGCAGATAGGTGCCGCGCTCGGCGAGATAGGAATCTTGTTTGTTCGGCTGCGAAAGCGCTTCGATCGGCGCGAGCCGTGGTCAGTCTAAAGACAACTTTGTCTTGTTGGAGACGCTGGCAATAAGTGAACTTTTTGTTGATGTCTAGTGTGCAAGAACAGCATATATACGCGGCGAGCTATTCTACGTAGTCTCCTCAAAACACCGAAATGCCTTGAGAAGACTGTGTCGGTGCTGCTGCTTGAAGCCAACTTTAGTGTGATGTAATCAAACCCAAAAATATCGGGAGCACGCGTAGAACCCAGCGCCGATGTTTCGCGTTCAAAGCCCGGCGCCTCCCATGTTCGTTTGTCCCCCGCATTCAACAGACGTGACAAGCTGCTGACTCTAATCGTCGACGTTCCTTTGCTCGATGTAGCTATTTCACAACTTATTGCAGCATCTACGAGGGCCACATCAGATAAATTTCCAACTGAGCAGGACAATGGCCGCCGAGCTCGAAACGTTCCGCGTGCGGGGACCGGGGGTGGCAAATGAGAATCTTTTGGAGGCGCGTCAGCGGGGCACCCCAAATGAAACTTCAGTCGGCGTAATGGACCGTCGTAAAGTCTGTCTGCTTAACAATTGAGGAATATGCGGGGCGATTCATCGCCATTCCAGAAGCTGGTATCCGCCACATCTGTCGGCAATGGTTTGAAGAGCGTCTTGCTCAGTGGATTGGCACGAGATCACCACGGCTCTGTCAGGGATGGGCATGCTAATAGCTCGCGGCGACTGTTGTCACTCCGAACGTGCTCGACACGAATGCTGCTCTCTACCTGCTTTGGTGGAAGTGCTGGGCGGGATTCTAGTGTGGTCATTTTGGAATCTTAATAACTATAGTGATATTCAGTTGACAACTAGTATCATTATTAATGATTAAATGTTATTAACACCAGGCACATGACTGCTTGGGATGCACTTTTGAACTGTGTTCATTCTCGTATGTATAGTATATTGTGATATACGAATATGGTCCTTAGTGAGCGCGGCAAGCAATTACGCCACGCATATACATTATGAATATGTGAGTCCCAATGTCATGAAACATCGAAATCGGCTCGTAAAGCTTACCCCCGCTAAATGAACGCATGAAGCATGAATAGTGCCACACGAAACAACTTTTGGAGACTACAACTATCACATGCCACGAACACGCTTATTCTGTTACCATCCTTAATTCGAACAAATTACGGCTGAATCTGCCACTACATTTCACATCATGCTTTTATATCATGAATGAACAAACTGGGCCTGTTGCACAAGCAGACCAAACCGATATGGCCAGAAGCCGGAGAATCTTGATCCAGCTTGGAGGAAGCTATGCTCTGGCAGGACATCTACGAGGAATGCAATGTACTGGATTAGTCCTTGGCCGCCAGGCTGGGAATTCAAAGCTAAATTTTATAATTTAGCTTATAATTTATAATTTAGCTTGTAATTTATCAATGCTTTTTTCTGTAAATACAGTACGGTTTATGATGCTTCACTGGATTGCGAGCAAATTTATCAATTCCCTCGGTTCTAGATATCTTGACATACAGTACAAAATTGCCCGTTATTTCCCCATGCCGCAGTCCTATAGGAGATACCGTATTTATACATCATTCAGATAATGCCTCATTTTATGTAGTATAAATAAAACGTAGAAAACCAATGCTCATGTTTATCATATATTTCTTCCAGCACCACATCATCTTTCACTCAGTAACGAGCGCATCCTTTTATGAATATAAGCTTATATCCAAGGCTTGAATAGAAACGAGAAATACAAAAAATCGTCTACGGCGGTAGAAACATAATCCAGAGAATACTCGCATCTAGTTTCCGTTACAGTTAAAGTAATCGTAAGCTCCCATGTTCTAAACCACAACCTGCAAAGCTTACTGTTTAAAGGCAGCGTTTGCACTGTTAATGCAGGAGCATTGCTTCAGGCACCCTACATCATACCGGGAGCCTTTAGGAATAAGAGGATCTGTGACAGGCGTGTTATCAGCACTGAGCACCTTGGCCATAACCCTTTGACATCGACCAGACTTTCAATAGACTGGATGAGAGCCGGACAATCTAGCTTCTGCATCGGGTCCTGCGGAACATGGCTCAACTCCTCAGAGGAAATTCCTCACCAACTGTTCCACTCCCCATTTCAGTATGTGTGGCGGTGGTCCACTTTTCAATGGTTTGTTTATGCCGCGGTGGGGGATCCTGAGCCGGCACTGTACAACGCGTGCTGAAAGCTAGGTGCTGGGACGGCACAGCGTCCTTCGCAGTCATGTGATGAAGCTTGAAGACCGCAACTATAACATCGGGAGGGAAGAGGAGGAGCCGTCAATGAGAGCCAGGTCGCCACCGTCCCCACCGAGCTGAGAGGAACACGAGCTCGCAGGTAAGGAACGACTTGCTCACGTTTGTCTCTATGCTGATTCTCCCGGAGAACATCTTACCCGCTTAGTTACTCTGGGGCCATTCCCCGGCCTTTTCTCCCTCTCTCTCTCCCTCTCTCTCTCTCTCTCTCCCTCTCTCTCTCTCTCTCCCTCTCTCTCTCTCTCCCTCTCTCTCTCCCTCTCTCTCTCTGTTTTTATTGCTCTCCTTCCCTTCCCCGTCCTCTCAGAGTACCCTTAGCCTCTCTGCTCCATGAAATGGGTGATCTCCTGCCAACGGGCCAACATTTTTTTCTGCAAATTTGGTTAAAACAACCCTCTGATTTGATGGACTTTTGAGATGACCACCCACGCTGCGCAGCGCTTGTTACGTGAGCCCTCACAGCACATTTGAAACGCCAGGTAAAGTACGAAATGCTTGACCCCAGATCACAACAAATAGCAGAGTTGTGCGCGCTGGTTTCTTTGGTACCAGTTGCGTATCAACCTATGAGAATGTCAATCAAGGGGTTGGAGAAAAGACGTAATAGACATTTCATACGCGCTTAGATATCGTCTGGTATTACGTACAGTGAATACTTAACCAGCTCTTTCGAGCATGAAGCGTATAAACCTCTCGCACAACTTCGTAACCTGTTATTATGACTTTTTTTCTGAGATTTTATAAATAAGGTATGTCTTTTACTTCCCGACACTTTTTGGAAATACATGTCGAAGCACGTAAGAAATACTTCACCAGAGGTCACTGCGACGTTTATCCTAATGTGGCTTTTTAGAGGTTGCTCGGTGAAGGTTAGTGGTGACTCAGTAGCAAGTAGGCTCAATAAGGTGACTCAATAGTAATGATTCTGAACAGGGCTCAGAGTTATTTTGAAGAAAAGATGACAATCTAAACGCGGCAGAGATTTCTGGCCTCGCACAAAAACATAGAAAATCCCCTGCCCGTCCTCGCAGCAACATACTAGGGTTTTGTTTAATGTCGGTTCAAAGCCCTGAGACATGACAGCGTTGCGCTGGAAGCATACCCTCTGACGTCCTATAGGTCCTCCCTGGAATCCCACCTTCCGACGTCTGGTCCTCGTACAAAGAACGTCCAGGGCCCGCCGATTCCGTAGATTCCTTTACCGCTCATCAGTTGCTTGGTTGTTCCTAGGACCTAAACTTATTTGTTTTTTCTTTGCGCTATTTCAAGGCATCGGGCCTATGAGAGCCTGGGCGTGCGTAGAGCTGGTGGCTTTTATGTATCCCCGGACCCCTTTGTGAACACTGCTTGTCTCGATGTCTCCGTAGCTCCTTGGAAATGATCTAATTATGGCTGGTGTGTTTAGCTGTCTATGTATACAGGGCTCTGTTGATATGTTTCTAGATGCAACGCAGTTTTTTGTTTACACACGCATGTATTTGCGCGATGGTGCAATCCAGCTGAAAGGAGAATTTTGACAAAAGATATTTTGCTACGCGGCATTTCTGAGAATACTGGGTTCCGTAAAATGCTACATACCTCCGTTCTCTTTTTCTTTCATTTTTCAACTTCCCTTCGTTCAATTTTGAGAAAGATATCTACCGGCAACCGGGTTATGTGCGCGAGAGATAGGCGTCTTTTGAGAGTGCAACGTTTGAAGTCGAATGACCGTTATGAAATGAGGGAGAGGGGCTTAACACACACCCTTTTTCACC